TTTTAAATGATCCTTGGACAACATCAGACAGGTTTAGATTCATTGAGCTTATATAAGAAATTACTTTTTGCTTGTACTGGTTCCATCTGTTCTAAGCTGCAATGAACATGTCCCGCTTGTGTCTGCAACCTCAGTAAAGGTGTCTCACAGGTGCACGTGGGGCCACTTGCTGGCAAAGGGTCACTGAAATTCCTTTCCAACTCTAGTTTTAGATTTAACCTCTTTCTCAGAAGAGAGAGAGGCAAAGTGGAAAGAAAAGAATGCTTTGTTCTTCAAAGTCAAAGAAAATTGTATTCCTGTTCTTTCCTTCCTTTTTCCCCTGATGTATGTAAACTTGCATAGACCATTAGATACTCTAGTTCAAGGTTAACTTCAAAACATCTCAGGACACATCTTGTTTTATGTCCTCTTGGGTATGTCATTTCAGTAAGGGAATGTTTATGCCAGTTCTAGTGAAGAAAATTAAGAGAGGATTTTGCATACCAGCTATAAAAGGTAAAGTCTGAGACACTCCAGCACTTTTCAAAATGGATCCTCTCTTTCAATGGAGATTATTCATGAGGTCTCATCCTTTCACCCTTTACCCGCCCCTCCTCCTCTTCTCACCACCACCTTCCAGAAGACGTTTGCATAGTTGACATACTGTAGAAATACACATGTTTAATTATGATACATTCAAGAGTCCTTGATTTTCAAGTAGTGCCTGTCATGTATTGAGCATCTATGCCACAATAGAGTATAACTGACATATTGGACATGAAAAACATGTGGATTCTCCCTCAGAATCATCATCATCTACTTTGCAAATGCGCCTTTATGTTACTGAAAAATTAGGATTGTCTTAGAAATTTTTTTCTTATGAAGTGATACAGAAGTATATGTTTTCTGATTAATTGTGCACTTGTGTATTTCACAAAAAAGTTAATTTCCAGTGAGCCTATATATTAAATGTATAGTCTAAGAAAAATAGGGCCAAACTTTCCCAGTCTAAAAATCTCTTTTCCTTTCTTTTCTTTCACTTAATGGCAGTTTCACTTCGCTTTCATCTTCTTATTTGCACCCATTTGTCTCCCCATGTAGTGATGCAGGTCTTGCCAGGCACAGAATGCAGTTCTCAGCTCCTCTTCCAGATGAGTGTGAGCACATGGAGGTCATACGCTCTAGCCATTGGGTCAAAGGCGGACATGTCCTATGGCAGCTTCTGGGAAAATTTTTTGAGAGATGAGCATAGTCTTTGTCCTCTTCTTTTCTTTTCTCTCATTTTGATGCTGGAAGCATGGGTATAGGCCATCTTGGACCATAAGCATGAGGCCACCTTTCAGAGTGTTAGAGCAGTGGTTGGAGAAACCCCAGAGAGCTGCACTGAAGGCACCAGTTCACAGTGTAGCCTTTATCAGTAGTGTCGCCTAGAGTTGAGTAAAGTAGTAGCTTTAGGACCTGGGACCTTGAGGACTTGGTGGAACAGATTCGTTATACTGGTCCCCTGACCCCCAGAATTCATATATGTGAATAAAAAGTTTCTTGTTATGGCCACTGTGAAGTTAGGCTTTAGTATTAGTTGTAGTTGAATCTGATACTTTTTTAATCCACTCTTTATCTGACATAATTTTACAGGCTAGTGGGCAAATGAATATGCATACATAAGATGATATAGAATAATTACCAAGTTATGTGACAACAGGTATAAATATAAAATTGTATTTTCATGTATTAGTGGAGGCTGTTGAATCTTCCACACCTTAGGAAATACACACAAGGTGAGAATTTCATAACAAATGACCTAAAGGCAAAAAAAAAAAGAATGATAGAACACAGATGAAGAGACTAGGATAAAGGAGTAGAACTGGACAATAATGAGACATGAGGTGGGTGACACATGAGAAATAGATCCAGATACTAGAGGGGGTACTGACTGTAATGAGGCAGTTTGTAGAACTGGTTATTTTGCATGGTGAGATCATAAGTTGATTTTTGACTTTCATTTCAATAGTTATTAATGTGTATATATCTTCTCATTAGAGGAGTTAAAATCATCAGCTTATAGATGATAGTGATTTTATCTTCCTTTGTTTCATAATTTCCCAAAAAGGCCTTGCATTAATTTATAGCAAGAAAAAATACATGAATGTCCTTAAAATAAGCCATTACCCTTTTTTGGTGAAATTTCAGACTCATTTATATCATAAAGAATTTGAACTAAACATTTACTTGGAGCCTTCAGAGAGGTTTAATTTCAGGAGATTATATAAAAGCCTGATAATTTCCCATAGTAGTTCATGGCTACATTTAAAATTTTCCACTGTTGGGAGAGTTCTTCCATATACTTAAGTTAAATCATGTGGTTTAGGTCAATTTTTCTTGATTGTCCCTTACTATAGATGCAGTTTCATGTCCCGTGAAAACAAGAACAATCATCATTTTAAAAGGGAATTCAATTGTATGATAGTAAAAGTAACATCTTTATATTATAGAATTTTACACATTACAGGACACTACAATATGTATATTTCACTTAATTTTTATAACAATCTGTGACAGAGGTATTCTCATTATCCTAAGTAATAGCTTAGTATAACCTCTTCTGGAAACTGCTGAATTGAGAATTGAACCCAGTTCTTACAATGTCAAATTCAGGGGTGCTGTGGGTGTGAATCTAGTTTTTATGACATGAAACCTTAATTATGAAAAATAATACAGCATTAAAAGCACAAAATTAGATTCAGAAGTCATTATTTAGAATAAGGAAAGATATAACAAGAAAGTACAATGTTTTAAAAAGCTAACAAATACAACAAACATTTCAAAATCCATATAGAGTGTAGTATTTTTATTAATTGACTGCCTGACCAATGTCTGTAATACTTTTTATCCTGAACTTTTTTGTAGGATATATCTTGTATAATCTTTTAATGACCTCTTTGTATGACAAAGATTTTGTAATTTCTTTATGTAGAGCAGTGATTTTATCTTCTAGAATAGATGACAGAAATTCCTTTTTTTAAGATTTTAATTAATGGATCTGAAAACTTTCAGCTTCACAAGTAATGTCAAGTAAATTTTAGGTTTATTTTCAAATTTGGGAAAACTGTCAACTTTCTTTCATGTATGGGCTATAAGATTTCATGGCATTTCAAGGTTACTTATGCACTAAGTAATCGTAAATACTCTTGAATTATCCAGTTTTTTCTTTACTATGTCCATATTATAAAGACTTATTGTGAGCTCTGTGTGGTTTTTTTCATGTCAATATTTTGTGTCAAATCAGCCAAAATTGTCTTTACCTATGTATTTATAAGATTTACTCTTCTTCATCAATTGAATTTTCAAATAATTTAAGTATATTCGTTACTTCTTTTCAAAATTTGTCTCTTCCTTTTAATGAATCACTGCTTTTAGCATGATTCTAATTATTTGCCATAATTTACTTCTCAATGTTGGAATAAATTCTATCGCTTTTCTTGCTCATTTTATCATTTTGTTCCATATTCTACTAACTTTTAATCAGAATTTTCTTAGCTATTTTCATAAATAAAAATAAAGATGGCTAAAAAATTATCCTTCATTTGTGTCCTTTCAGGAATCTTGAGCTAGGTAATAACATACCCAAGCACTCTGATACTACATGCATGGCTTGATCATTTACTATGTGAGGAATTTTGTCATTGAACACTTGTATTTCCACATCACCTTGCTATGTCTGAGGCAATTTTGTACGCTTTTTCATCTGGAGACTTCAGGCTTCATCAGGCCACAGTGAGACAGATATACTTACACATGATCCAGTATGTTGGCATGCAGAAAGCGGGTGATATCTCTCACAAAGGTATAGCTGAACCAGTACTGCTGGGCTTGTATTCTATAAACAGGGTTGCTGATAAAAATCTAATGTAATTTCCATAAAGAAAGTATGTGGTGCATTTATGGTTGATACGCTGCATTATTGAGTGTATCCCCTTCCTGATAAGAGAGAACTTGAATTTTGTCTAGGCATTGATAGGAAACAAATCCTTCCATTATAACTTTACATGTTTGGTGATTGGAAAACTATCCAAAGGCTAGTTTCTGCCTTCATTTCTTCCCTCCCTCCCCCTCTCTCTCTTTCTTTCTCTCTCTGTCTTTCTCTCTTTATTTCTTTCTTGTTCTGCTGTCCACATACTTCCAGTCCTAGGCCTCCAAAGATGTGTTCATGTCATGGAAGTGCCCCTGGCTCTGTCAGTGGTTGGCAGGAGGACTGTGGGAGCCATTCTCTGGCTAGCTGTAACTTAATATACACAGAAATCATGGCAAATCCCTAAACTATACTCCAGTAAATCTAGACAAAATGTTTCTCCTAATAATTTCTCTTTAGCTGGATCTCAAAAGTGTCCTTGGCTACTACTGTCTTGTCACCCAAAATGAGGGCATAGAAATGGAGGGAAAGCTGGAGTAGAAGAAACCAGATTTCTCAACAAAATTCATCTAAACTATTTAACTTTAGAAACTAACTTTGGAATATAAACTATATTAACTTTAGAGTATGTCACAAAATGACATGAGCTGCAGGGTACTGGAGGGGGCTGGTAAAAGTGAAGGACACTGAAGTTCCAATAACTTTGCAGCAAATCTGCCTCTACACCATGCTACCATTTTAAAGATGTAGGTCTTGTATCTAAAATGAAAAGCTTGATTCCCCATTGGTGGATAAAAAGTGTAAAATCAGACTTAATGGCTGAGGTTATTTTTAAATCCGAATTTCATGTGTCATTTGTGAGCTGATTGGCCATTCTTTATGAGTCTTACTTATGTGTGAGTTCTGGTTTGTTTTATCATGGTCTGCACGACACCTGCAGTTTGCAACATATCGAGATGATCTGTTGGTTGTTACTATCTTCCAGTAGTTAATGGTTGTGCTGTGCTGCTGTAACAAAGTTTTAGTAACATCCTCCTGCTTACTTTATTAAGTGTGCTAAAAAGGAACCCTATGCTTATTTGTTTTGTTTTGTTTTCTGTTCTCTTTTCAGTTCTACTGAGATTGGGGTATTTTGCAGTGGGAAAGCAAAAATGTTGGTGGATGGCCTGCATGTAGGTGAGTCTGTGGTATTGAAGCCATTATATTATCATATTAATGTTCACTAAGTTGATTGTGTTTTATGTTGCAAGTCCCACTGTGTTCAGATTTTTCTTTGCCTAAAACAATGCTGCATATTTTCTTAGCTAAATTCCGAAAGAACTAATATTGCATTTTTGGTATAATGTTCTACTTCTTTATTTATTGGAAGTACCAGCTGTATTATTTTTCTTAGATAGTGCAGCATATGAATAAAAATATATTTTCTTGATTGAACTTTTCATTTCAATGTTTATTGCAAGCTATGCTTGACAGGAGTACAACGAGGTTAAAAATTCTCTACCTTAGGCTGGTACCATGACCCCAAATTTCGCACATTTTTTATGCTGAAAAAAACATGGTTTTCCTGGGGATAGTTTATAATACTTGGTGATGATATATGATAAGGGCTGGGTGTTTATATTACCTGTGTCAGGATTCCCTTATGTCTATAATTAACATGTTCACCAAACACCCTAGAATTCTCTGATGAATGTACTCAGCCTTTTAACTGAGTGACCCAAGAATACGTTGTATTTTAATCTCCATCTGACTGCTACGTTCACTTTTTCCAAACATTTTATTTGGCATTTATCACATTCAGTGCCCTCCCATTCTTTTCATCCTTCTTGTTTTATTGATGAATAATGAGAGTGTTAACACTGCTTATCTTGACTTGGGCAAATGAAGAGTGACTTGCCTAAGAGCCTCTAGCCTGAATCAACTGGATGATTTCTGTGTGTTTGCTTCCAGTTTTAAGCTATGATTGCTTACACCTAACAGTAGCTATAAAATACACATTTATGGGGAAGTCTTTAATCTCACAGTCAACGAAAGTAATCTTATTCTGTGATATGACTATAAATGAAATCACACTTTACAGTGGCTAGCCTGATGCCCATGTAAAACCAAAAGGGTTTAAGGCACAAGGAAATTTAGAAGAGCTCAGTAGGCATCTTACCTCTGTTGTCCAAATTTACACCCCAGTTCAGTCATTGCTGTGGTGAATATTCTTAAAATATATTCATTCTCGCAATTTTAATAGATTAGCCACTTCTGTGAAAGAATTTTTTCCCAGATAAATTATATAACTGTGATAGAGACTTAAAATCCCAATTCATAGTGATATGGTAAACCATATCCACATAGGAGAAAATGAGAGTTAAGAATCTCCAAATGACATCATTCTTTCTGAGGATGCCAAGTGCTGATAAAATGTGTATGTCACAAGGAGTTGTCATATACAGAAGTACCCAAGTTGCATAAAGAGGTATGGTACATACATCATCCTCTATATCTATATCTATAGCTGAATACATCTGTAATTGCATATACAAATATGTATACATATATAAATATCAGAATAGTATACATTATTCTAAAATAGTTTTATATGTATGAAATATGCAGCTAATACTGGTTCTTTAATTTGAAACAAACACTATTATATCTTGATAATCATATGTGTATGGATATATAAAATACATACATAGGTATATATCACATATGTACATATTTGTGTATATATTTTCATATATATATATATGTATATGCAAATATTCTTCCTTTATCAGCAAAAGCCAAACTTTTATAACATATCTGGCAGACCAAAGCTCAGTTCTTTCAGCTTCAGCACTTTAACACTTTTTAAGTCCAGCGTATTCTTGAAATTACTAAATTAATCTCTTACAAGAAAAAGAGATCTTCTTGCATCTTATCTTTTAAATCTTTATGCTGCATTAATACTTCCTGAATAAGATTCTGACTCAGAGATATGTTTTTGAGTTTTATCTTCTGTTTACAAACTCCAGACTATCAGTCTGCTTAGTCACATGGAATGATGTTTAGTTATCATCAAAGATTTTACTGAAGCAGATTTAACCACACATTCTTCTGTTTTCCTGTGTTACTTACAGGGCTGTTCCCAGTAAAAAATACTAATTGAAATGAGAAGGCATTTTTGTGAATTAACTTTCTCTTATATTTAATATTATGTATCTTTAACTCTGCAGCAGTTTATGTGGCAGAAGCTGTTTTAACATTATAATTCTGCTTCCTCTCTGAGATACAATAAAATGCAGGCAAAATATATAAAGTGAAAAAATATACATTAAGAATGGAGAATGTGATAAAGTGAGAAAGCTCTCCCCATTTACTAAGATACAGTAACTGGTTCTGCTTTCAGTACATCTTTTCTAAATAAGATATTTGCTCCCTGCATACACCTGAGTTTTTCCAAGGGATGTCATTAAAAAGCAGTAGGAGTTAGTACAACATAACTTGGGCACGGTTCGTGTTGGGGAAGCAGTGTGATACATGCAGGGAGAAAGCCACTTCTACGTAAATGAAAATTTTCCTCTTACCTCTGGAAGCCACAGCCCTAGCCTGTGAGATTAATTTTCATCAGAGGATCTGAGCTCTATTTGTATTACATGAAGATATCTGTAAGTGGATGAGTCCTTCAGAATGCAAATTCTCAAGGACCAGTTCGGGTGGGGGCAGTGTTTTGAGTTTAAAACAATAGAAAGATCATTTCATAAAACTTTTGTGATTCCTTTTAAAACCCTCCTAGTTCTCCTAAATTCTTTTCCAACTCATCCTTTTGCAAACTTACAGAGAAATTTTAGTACTCCTATTGAGGCAGTTGGAATGTTATTATCATGTGAATCCCTCAAATGGCTAAGTTTCAAATTTTTCGTAGGCACTTTCTGATTCTCCTGATCCATGTGATAAATTCACTTTGGGCTGAACCTCGGTGTTATGTGGTGAAAATATATGGAATCACAAAGCCAGGGTCAGGGTCGGCTTTAGAATTTTCAGGTGTTTGATTTGGGGGAGGGAATTTTGGCCACTATTGTCTCATTTTAAAAATGGATATAATGGTGTCTAATTCACAGGATGGTTTAGAGAATGAAATAATACAAGTATATTATCTTATATATATAGCTGTGATTTTTACATACAAGTAGTTTAAAGGTATCATTATTTTTGCCGATACTAGGTAATAATTCTGGCTTCTCTTTCTTGTCTCTAAAAATAATGAATGTGAGTAACTGTGTGAACAGATATCCAGCTGGATGGTATGTAATGGAGACTGAGAACACAGTGAGGAGATATTATTATATTCAGTAGAGCACCTCACATATGTTAGTGCTCACAGCTGGTGAAGAAACAGCACTGATAGATGCTGACATTTAGATTTTTGTTTTAAGAGATTAAATTGGAAAGGGGGGGCATTCAGATAAGAGGAGCTATTCCTGCTGCAGAGGTCATGATATCCACAAATCTGGTCCTATTTTATCAATTTATGTTGAAAATTATTACTAGTGCTAATAGTTCCATACAAACTACTCAAAGTACTTCAAGGAGACCAAGCACAGATATGGTATTATCAATACCATAGGTATTGATAATAAATATGTTTGATAGTTACTGATATAAAACAGTAGCACTACCGTGTTGACCTTTAGCAGCCCTCCTTAGTGTGTCAAAACTTAAATCTTTCAGGGGAGTCATAAAATGTAACATCACCTGAAATCGAACACTAGCAATTTTTTTAAAGTAATAAACTATTGGGTAAGTAGGTTGCTTTTATCATCTTTTCAATCTCTCATCCTAAAGCTTTGGTGATAATTTAAAATACAGTGAGACACTTTAGCAGGGTCTTTAAAATCAATTTGTAATTTCAGCACTGTATTATTCAATTAATCCTAAAAGCAGTACAACCTTTTGAATGACTTTGAAATATCCTTCACTTCAACAAAGAAAAAAGAAAGATAAAATGAAAAAAAATGAAAAAAAAACCAACAGAGAAAGGAAAATAATGGTTTTATATTATTTACATAACTGTGTATGAGATGAGAAAATATTTCAGTGGATGTTGCTATTCACCTGACATTAAATATATGGGCTTAATATATGGAAATTTTCCTAGGTTATGTTTGTAAAAATAACAAAGCGTTTTAAATATGTCAAGTGAATTCTAGCATACATTAATTTAAGTCTATTTATGAATTTTCAAAATTTGTTGTAAACATTGCTTCTTGCTTTTGATGTCCTTTACAAATTCTTATCATTTATCAGATAGCTTTATGAGGCTCTGTTGCTTTTTTAGCAGAGATGGTATTTACTTTTCTTCCCACAGTACAGTATGATATCTTTAGTACTTGTTAAGTCATTTCTTTTTCTTGAGTAACATGATTTATGTTTATCTAAAGATAAGTACACCATAAGAAAAATAAGGAAAACTATTTTACAAAAGACTTTTGGGAGGGCAGATGTTTATTTATATCAATAATAGCATTATTAAACAAAATTTCTTTGGAGCTACAAGAAATATAAATATGGACGATCATCTAGTAGATGGATATAACAATTATATGCAACTGGCTAAGGACAATCCTCACCTCCTGGGTGCTTATAGATGAAGGGTAATTTGTGAGATTAGGCAGGAAAACCTTTAGTGTCTGTTATTTGTCTGTGTATTTTAACATGACTCAAACAGAAATTTCCATATGTGCCAGAATATTTTTCAAAAGCTTTCACGTGTAAATGGCAAAAAAAAAACAAAAGGCACAAAGTTGATGAGAGCTCACAGAATCTAATGGTCACATCTTGATGGTAGAAAGATTCAGAAACACTATGTGGCCCGATTCTGAGCTCCAGATTTCTGTATCTCACCTACTTGATATCTTTGACTGGGTATTGATTAGGAATTTCTGATTTATGTCTAAGATGGAAGTCTTGGAGTTTTCTGCCATATACTCAGCCTCTCACATCATGATAAATGGTACCAGCATCTTCTGAGTTGCTCAAGTCCCAAACTTAGGAGATATCCTTTTTATTCTTCCTTGGCCTCCACCCTGTGCTCTAGCATCACCCATCCAACCCCTGACCAAATCTCTGCAGTTCTCGTCATCACTGCGACCACCCATCCATCCCAGCATCATCTCTTCCCCAGAGCTCGAACAGTCGCTCTGCTTAAGTCCTTTCAGTGGCTTTCCTTTTCTCTTAGAAAGCCCTCACCTGGGCAACTTGCAGACAGTCTCTTCTTATCCTTCAGATTTCAGCTAAGATGCCATGTGACCATCTTCTTCCTCAGTTTCTGTCTCTCTTTTACTCTCCTGTATTTCTATTTACAACATTGTCTGAAATCTGTATTTATCTTATCTAGTTCATCTAGTCTTTGACACTAGAGTATAAGCTCTGTTGAGGATGAAAAACTTGCCTGTCATTTTTACCAGTGAATGTTTAGTGTCTACCAAGTGCTAGACATGTGATAAATGCTTAATAAATAATTATTGAGCGATAAAATATATATACATGTGTTTGGGGGCTATGGTACCTGCCAGGGAAAGCTGGTACACAGGTGATATCATGAATATATGAAAAGAGA